GGACCCTGTCTCCATCTCTCCATGGCCACTAGGACCCTGTCTCCATCTCTCCATGGCCACTAGGACCCTCTCTCCATCTCTCCATGGCCACTAGGACCCTGTCTCCATCTCTCCATGGCCACTAGGACCCTCTCTCCATCTCTCCATGGCCACTAGGACCCTGTCTCCATCTCTCCATGGCCACTAGGACCCTCTCTCTATCTCTCCATGGCCACTAGGACCCTGTCTCCATCTCTCCATGGCGCAGACCAGCACGACCTGGTCTGTAGCGTTTGGAGAATGTTTCTGTTCCTCTTCCTCTGCCTGTTGTCTTTGCTCCTCCGTACTGGGACCAGTTTGTCACCTTGGGAGCTCGTTAAGGTTTATGGTGCTTTGTGAACAGTGTTGGGAAAGTTTCGACATGTAACATGATACTAGTTACCCTGGTAAAGTGTATTAAATAATGTAACTTTTTAATTACTTCATCAATGTAATGTAACATATTACTTTTAGTTGCTTTTCTAACAAATGTTATAAACTGGGCAGCTGTTACTGGCAAACTTTATTAAAGCTTCTTCAACATGACTTCGGATAAATAATATATTACTGTGGAGACACGCAGCAAAACCGTTTTCTGATTACAGAAGGAAAGTACCGTTGATTTCCTGTCCGATGGCCACCCGCCTTGGCGTTATTATTATTGTTATTATTATTATTATTATTATCATTATTGAGCAAAGCCCCAGCAAATCCCCCTGGGACAGCACTGGGCGACGGTGGGCAGAGAAAACCACCCACTCCTCCTTGATTGACAGACGAGAGGCGGTGCAAAGTGAAAACAGAGAACCAATCAGAAGTGAGAGTGTCCGTCCACACACAGAGGCAGCTCCCTGTCAGCCTCCTACCCACCATGGTGTTTGTCCTAGCAGCTTTGCTGGCCCTCATGTCTAAACGTGTTTGGGGAGAAGCTGGGAAGCCGCTGAATGATTGTTATATACTGTACGCTGTGTGGAACTGGTCTGACTGGTCGCTGTTACTGGGAGGTTGAGTGGAGAGCAGGGGTTGAAATATCAGTGAGTTACAGAGGAATCAGGAGGAAACGATACAGGGATGACTTTGTTTGGATGGAATGATCAGTCCTGGAGTCTGGTCTGCTCTGGTCGTGGTTACTGTGTCAGGCACAATAAAAGACAAACATCCATCCCCTCCTCCTCTTCTTCTTCCTCCTCTTCTTCCTCATCTGTGTCTCACAGAGTAGCAGTGTATGTGGACTGTCCTGCCGGCACTCTGTCCTTCTACACCGTCTCCTCTGACACACTGATCCACCTCCACACCTTCAACACCACATTCACTGAACCTCTTTATCCTGGGTTCAGGATCTCATGTGACTCCTCAGTGTCTCTGTGTGGTGTGTAGGTGAGAGAGTCTCCTGTGGACACAAACTCTGACTGAAGATCAGCTGCTGAGGTCAAAGGTCACAATTCACCATCCCACTTCACTGTGACTCAGACGCCAAACACTCATTTGTCTGATTTCATCACTTTGACCATCAACATTTGACCAGTTCAGTCCAATGGTTTTGATTCTGTGTGATGATTATTGTTGTCTCCGTTCACTCTGTTGTTGTTGCTGCCAGGATCCACTGAGCAGCATCCAGCTCTGCTCAGGTTTAATAGAATCACATCCATCCAGCTATGGAAGCCCAGAGCGGCCATGTTCTGTTTATGTATTTTCATCTCAGAACCACAACTTCTTCACTTCTTGAGTTCCAACATGTTCCAGGAGCAGTTTCCTTCATCCATCAGACTTTGTGCTGACATCCCTCTGTGTTGGCAGGACTCTGGGGTCTGGGGCCGAGCTGTTGTAAAGTCAGTCTGAGGAGTGGTGCTGAAAGTTCTCGTTCTAGTCTCAGGTGTGGACTGGATCATCTGCTCTTCTGGGAACATGAACCCTGATGCCCAGCTGTTTCCAGCAGGTGGCAGCAGCAGCAATGACTGATGGAGCAGAGCTCAACTCAACTCAACTCAACTTTATTTATATAGCGCTTTACCACAGCACAGCTGACCAAAGCACTTAACATATCATACAGATATAAAAACAACACATAAAAAGCTATAGACAGTAATATAAACAGAGCTGCTCTCTGGGAGCCGGTGCAGCAGCTTCGCCTTCACACGGAAGTACCTGCAGCAATTTCATGTGATTGTGTAAAAACAAAAGTGAAAACTATGTACATGAGCACAGTCCCCAGCAGTGCAGTCAAATACCCAGAAGTTCAAAGCCTGTACTGCCACATGCACCCTAAGGAAAGAAGTTTCCTGGTACAATGAAGCTGTTCATTTGCCTTTGTTGTGTCATTTGTGCAAACTAACACATGATTTGGCAGCATGTAAATGTAATTTAATCCCGTGTATTTTGGTGCATTTTAATGCGTGTTAATGGACACACATTAGAACGTGTGCTCTTTGTGTTTAATTTCAAGGGGTTTTTGTTTTTAACAGGGAAAATTTGTCAGTGTTTTAACTGATGTTATCTTTAAAAGTGGTTGTACAGTTTATTTATTATTGATAATATACTAAGTACAAAGTCAAGCCGTCCCAAACCAGCACTGCCCAGCCAGACAAGTCTAATGCTAATAAAGTTAATAAAGTTAAACAATGGATCCCCGGCTGTGTGACTGTGGGCCCTGGAAACAGCCGCAGAGTGAGAGCTCTCGCCGCTCCGCCTCTGCGCGTCTCCGCCCATCTCGGTGCAGTTTCCTCCTCAGGTGTTCGCAGCAGGAGGACGGAGGAGTGCGTCGGGACTGTCGGTGCTGCTCCGGGTCTGGCCTCTGCCGAACAAATCATGGAGTCTAAACTTTATTATTTCACCCGGAGCGGAATAAAAACCAGATTTAACCTTCAGCTATGAGGACGAGCGCGCCCTGGACTCAGGAGAGGATCTTTGGTGTCCGTCTGTGACAGTTTGGGGTGACCGACTTCCACTCAGTCCAGGTGTGGTTCTTACACCTGCGGCCGCGCTTCGGTTCAGTATTACTTAAGATTTTTCCCCGTCAGGACAGTGCGTGTGTGCGGAGCTCACGATGTCGGGGATGATCACTGTGACAGAGTTTATTTCGGAGACTAACGAGGACTACAAAGCTCCGACCACCTCCAGCTTCACCACCCGGATGTCCCACTGCAGGAACACGGTGGCAGCTCTGGAGGAGGTAAGGGAACACACAGGGAGACCACCCCGGAGACATGCGGAATGTCCGCGTTGTAGACCCAGAAAACGCGGCCTGTGTGCGCTGGGCATCATGAGGCAACATGGGGCATCATGGGGCAACATGGGCAGTGAAATCACAGAAAATCAGGCTGTCCTCAGTTTTCTTTGGCTTCCTGTGAAGAATACTATAGAAGCTAAGTGGTCGTCATTTCAGGCTGTAGACAGTGCACACGGTGGCTCTGCAGCGAGAAAACGAGTTTGTGTGGGTCATTCTGTGGATAAATACGCGTGACCTTCCAGATCTGGAGTCAAAGCCAACGTGTGTGTTTCACTGGAAAGAGGAACGGTCACTTCCGCCTGGTGTAACAGCTCAGAGCTGTTTTGTAAGAGTTTAGTTCGGCAGCTGCTTCTTTTTGCAACACAACCATGACCAGGCACATTTAGACAGAAGTGACAGGAGGAGCTGTAGTCAGAGGTCAAAGGTCACAGATGAGCCCGAGTCTGATTCCACACAGGCTCCACTCTTTTCTTTAATCGCTGACCTTTGACCTTACTCCCAGTGCTGTCAGTACTGGTACTACTCCAGCTGCTGCTGTCACTGTACCAGTCGCCGCTGCACCTGGAAACGCGTCCTGTGCATGTTGAAGGGTTTGCAGAGCTCGAGGTCCTGCCTGGTTTCCAGGGTGGCTGAGCTACTTTCAAGCCTTCCTCAGCTTTTCCCAGGACGTGTTGATTGAAGTTTTAAGGGCCACTAATGGTTTTCTAAGGTCCTCAAGGGGGCTGTTGAAACCTCAAGGAGTTGTTGGGGGACGGTGTGATTTGTTAGGAAGGAGGTGAAACGTGAGCATAAACATGTGTTGCTGAGTGGATCAGCGTTAAATGTGCAGGTCAGGAAAGCCATCCAGTAGAAAGGTTTAATGAGCTGAACTGGACTAATCGTGCACACACACACACACACACACACTTCACCGCTGCTGCAGCTGTCGCTTGGTTCACTTGTGCACATTACTTAGCGCTGCTGAGACTTTTGCTAATAATATTACAGGAAGTGTTTTCAGCGTCTGCTGTAAGACAGATGAAGATCTGACATTTCAACAAAACAAAAAGAGAAGTCTTTCATTTCCCTTGTAAAGATGAAACTGCACTGAGTGAAATACACACTGTCGTACTGCATTTCCAGTACCATACTAATGTAGCTACTGGCCTCCTGACCTGGATGTAACGTAGACGCCACCAGTTGTAGCTTTGTGGGGATACAGTAGGCCTGGTGTGCACAGTGAGACGCACTAAGGGTAAAGTGAGTGTGGCCCGCCCCACTTGTGCTGCTGAGGCCAAACACCAGAACCAGCTCTCAGTGTACGGTCCATAACCCAGTCCAGCTGACTGCAGGTGAACCCAAGGTGTGCACAAGCTGAAGGAGGATTCGCTCCAGGACTGTTGGATTAGACTTAGTTTGAGACGGGGGTTCCTAATAAACTGACCACTTAGTGTATATTCATCATCTCGTGAGTAGGCTCTAAGATCAGTGTGTCCAGAATAAAGGTTTACAGGTTTCTACTGCTTATTTCAGTAACACTCCTGAAATTGTGACCTGAGGTTTGTAGCGAGTGCAGGTCTGGACAGCGCAGGGCTTCCTGCTCCTGTTGCATGCTGGGATGTTTCTGTCAGGCCTCACCTGTCTGAACAGGACCTGCTCCCCCCCCCCCACCCTTGTATGGTGTTTCTAACGTGTCCCTCCTCTCTCTCTCTAAACGCTCCACCTGATTTACCTCTAGTGTTTGACTGTCTGCCTCCTCGTCCTCTCGTTCCGTCTTACTCAGGACTTAAAGCTGCTCTGTCTTTTAACACTGATAAGTCATCAACACCTCAGACGTATAGAATTGCAGTAACCAGATGAGCAGCCTGTTGGTGGCCCTCGGTTTCAAAACGAAAGGGTGATGAAGGACTTTGTCCACATGTCGTTAACGTGTCCCCGTTAACAGTGTGAGAATGAGCAGTGACCAGTACGGAGGTAAATCTCCACACGTACCCCGTTTGGAGTACTACTCACTCTGCAGCTCAGCGTCTGCGAGTGCGCGGCATGCACAGATTTGTAGGCAGAGTCAGGTTTGAGAGCGTGATCCCGGCCGTGTGGGCGCTTGTCTTTCTCCACTGAGGTTTGTGTCAAAGTCTGTCTGTGCCAAAAGTTTTGAGAAGTGCACAAAACAGTTGCAAATGCTCTTCACTTTATAAATCAGAACGGCTGGATTTGTACGAGCAGAATCAGATCCCGCCGCTCCAATCATCTGTTACGCTCTCGGCTCTGTCCTACCTCACTCTCAGACCTGACTCTGCCTACAATTGTGTCCCTGCTGCGCACTCGCAGACGCTGAGCTGCAAACTGAGTAGTGCTCAGTGTGGTTTGTGCTCCCTCGATTTGGTAAGGATTTCCTTCCATAGAGCAGCTGCTGGGTGCGGCGTCCCCTTGGGTGTCCAGACAGCTGTGGCCGATCACTGAGAGACTGAAGGGAACGTAACGACAGCAGGATCCTCAGGCATCTGCAGCCTCGTCTCTCTGGCTTCTCACTGGGTTTATGGAGGGACACCAGAGATGGTGGGATCCTCAGTGTGAGTCTCACTCCGGCAGGTTCTGCAGTTAAAGAAGCATCTTGTATGATTTTTAAACAGATGTGTGGCTGTTTGTTTATGATGGACATGAGTCATAGTAACAAGCTGTGAATGAAAAGTTACGCTGAGTCTAAAAATATGACTGAGGTGAGTCAGAGGGAGGAGTGAACGTTAGACTGGTACGGTAATCACCTGAAGGGTCACGCCAGAGGCCAGGCCCTGTACACACGTCCTGTGCACACCTGGTCTCATGTATGACTCACTGTCTGACAGTGACATGACTCGGTGCTGCTGCTGACAGAGTAAAACAAACAGCAGCGTAGTGGTGTAGGACTAAACCCCACGTCCTTCAGCGCAGGGCGGAGTCACTGATAGGGTTGTTTTCACAGTGGGACGCAGTCGGACAACAATCAAACCTCTGCAGAAATACTGAAGTAAAGTAAAGATGAAAGTGGTCACGTCTCTATAAAAACTAGCTGCTGGTGTTTCTGCTTCAGTCTACTTCGGTTTCATTGCACACACAGAGCTGTGTTTATATCTGAAGACCGCTGCGGTGGCAACACAACATAGTGGTGCTCAAACTGGGGTCCTCTGCCTCCAGGTGTCCTGAGGGGTCCTTGGCAGGTCTGAGGAGGTTTCTGAGGTCTCCCCAAAGTGTTCAGGGGTACAGTGCTTGAAACATTTCCATGTTGGCTCTTGATGTGGATTTAATGGCCTTTTGGGTTTTTTCCCAGAGGTCCTTGAAAGATGTCCAAGGTTCCTTATAGTGTTCCAAGGACACATCACAAGGTTTTTATGGTCCTTCTGGACTTTTTAAATCTCCCTGAAGGATTTCCAGTATCAGTAGTGTCCTCTCTAGCTGTTGGTTGTCTTCAGGCCTCCTGTGCAGCCTGTCTGTCTCCTGTCAGTCGTTCCTCCCACTGTCTTTGAATGTCTCACAGAGGAGGAAGTAGCTTAAAACTGTACAAGCAGCTTTTTAATAAATGAGTCAGTTCCGGTCTTGTGACTGGCATCGATGAAATAGCAGAGTGAAACCAGCCACAAACCTCAGATGAAAAACATCGAGAACATTACTGACCTTAACAGACTTTCAGTTCTAAAGTAGAAACACCTGAGCTTTGCTGTGTTTAAAGGCATGTGAACTTCTGGCCGTTTCAGTTTCATGTCGGCAGGAACTTACTGGTATATGTAAGAAGAAACAGACTCAAGCTTCTGATTATTCTGAGTATTTATTTATTTCTCCCTCTGTTTTACCACCTTTAAGGTTCAGGTAGTTGTCCTCACAGCAGCTGGTGGATCTGTTGACCTCCTCCCTCTCTGGTCCTTCACCAGGAGCATCACCAGCTCATCCAGACTGTGTGAAGTGTCTGACAGGCTTCTGTATTTAGTAGCTTTGTAACTCTGTTTGGTTTTGAATCATCTCAGGGACCTTTACTGTCAGAGAGTCGTCTCAGGCTGAGAGACACTACAGACTCAGAGGACGATGTCCTCCTCAGATCAAGAGTCAAAGGGCTGCAGGCCATTTAAAGAGAAGCACGGCCACCTCAGTGAAACGTGTGGCCTGGTTTCAGCTGTGCACGGAGACTGATGCTCTGTCCTGACTCTGTTTGTCCTCTCAGGTCCTGGACCTGGACCGATCAGTTCTGCACAAGATCAAGAAGTCGGTGAAGGCCATCCACGCGTCCGGTCTGAGTGAGTTCCACCTCGCTCTGCTGCCACTTCCTGTCTGTCACACACAAACTGTCAAAGCCACATGTCCACTTGTCTTTTTCCCAGAATATTTTTACTGAACAAAGTGAATGTTGCACTGAGCACGGTGTGAGAACATGATCAGATTAAGGAGGTGAAAGTACTGATGACTCATCACAATAAACAGCTGCATAGACACATGAATCGCACACAGTCAGGAAGATGAAACTACTGTCACAGACTTGTCTCGCAGTACAAACGTCACCGGGGCCTGTGTTTACCTGTCCATCCATCGTCTAGACTGGTTAGGGTGTGGAATAGGGGGGGTGACGTTGGCCCAGAGCAAATCCTCCATAATAATAGTGTTTGTTTCCTTCTTACTCTGAGTTACTTTTTATTCTGCAATGCCAGAAAATAGCTGTTTCCAAACATCGTGTGTAAAGTGCCACACCAGGCTCCAGGCTCTGAGGCCCCGGGTACAAGTCTTTGTAACTTCTCTGAAGAAAGTGTTTTGGAAAGCGACAGACTCTGTTCTTATTCTTGTGGTTCTTCACACCAAGATAAACGATAAACTGAGATGAAATTTTATTAATAAATAAAGCAGAAACATCCGTATTGATTGCTGCATGTTTAAAACCAGTTCAGTGAGCACACACAGTCAGCACACTGACCAAAGTGCTTCACAGTCCATGGCAATGAAGACTTACCACAACAGAGCAGTGACCTGAGTGTCAGTAAACTACTGGCAGCCGAGCGCTAATTTCAAAGATAGGTTTTTAATCCCGATTTAAAGGAGACCATGTCTGATATTAAGCACAGTTCAACAGCCAAACTCCAACTGCAAAGACCCCCCCCCTCCTTTCATATCTGGTCCAGTAGACCCAGATCAGCTGATCTGAGAGCTCAGGGAAACCCACAGGTGCTCAAAGCCTCGGTGAGATGGGGAGGAGTGAGACCTCTTAGTGCCCTGAAAACAAACAGCAACGCTTTAAAATCGATCCTAAAACGCACAGGGAGCCAGTGAAGGGAGCAGTTCACACTTGATGTACACGTTAAAAGGCGAGCAGCTGCATTTTGCTCCAGTTGGAGACAAAACATTAAGACCTGACTGAGTCCCACACTCGGCACATTACAGTAATCAGGCCTGGAGCTAATGAAGACCTGGACTGTTTTTACAAGGCCACTGTTAAGGAAACACTGGACCTGTGCAAGCAAACGAAGCTGGAGAAAGCTCGCATTTACCACCGCGCTAATCTGCCTCCACTCATTATCCAAAAAGCTGCAGGCGTGAGATGAGCGAACATGTGGTGGAGCAGCTGTGAGGTGGCCATGTGGTCGGTGGGTTAGTGCTCAGGCAAGTGGAGTCTCGCCTCCCAACATTCCTGTCATGGCTGTCATGTCCCAGCCTGCCGAGGGAGAGCCTCCCTCCGCCACGAGCTGCTGTCGGTCGGTCTGTTTGTGCACCAATGTGGAGAATGAATCCTAGCAAATGTGTTCAGCAAACGCAGCATGGTCCTGGTTGTGTGACCAAAAAAAAGCTTTTGGCACAAGGGCCTGTTCCTCAGTCCAGTGTCACTGACACAGTCTGTAGTGAAGAAACTAACAGTCGACAGACAGAGGAGGAAACAGGAAGCTCAGCTTTTTCAGTGAGGAAGCACAATGTTAAGCTGTGGCAGAGCGGCACCACCAGCTGGAGCCCGGCCTGTGCATGTTGCAGCTGTAAAGGACAGAACACATTATAAACCAGACATGGGGGGTCAGGGGGTGATGGTGAAGAAGCACCAGGACCAAGAAGTGTCATGTTGTGAAAGTGACGCTGAGGACAACAGACGTGGAACATGTGCACACGCAGCAGCTGGTGGCTGAGCCGTAGGACGACACTGAACATTAACTGGGCTCGGAAAAAGGAAAACTGTGGAGTGTGAAACACAGAGATGGACTCGGTGAAAACCATCCACACAACTCGGAGCAGAACAATGAAACACACAGTTTCAGTGGATTGACCTCGTTAACAAAGCCAAGGTTCATTTGGTCCCTTACTTTTTATTTACAGCCGTTCTCCCATTTGCAAAATAAAAATGGAAAACAAAGATTTTTACTTGCATATAAAGAGTTTTTACGAGCTGTATTTGATCTCATTGCTTCCTGTAGGAACAAAAACAGTGTTTGTTTGTTTGCTTGTTTTGCTTTTCACTTCTATGATGCATCATGTAAATACTAATTTCATCTGTTTATAACTATTTTATTATCCATGGATTTAATCCTTGATCTTAATAAAACACAACGAACATTTGGCTGGAGCCTGTCACACAGGAGCCAATTGGGATTCAGACGTGTAACTAAAGACACACCACGTGACATTGTTCTTTCACACCATATGGACTCGGAGACAAAGCTGAGGTGGACAGAGGCTGCTGGAGTCGACACAACCTGGTGTTTGAGGTGTCGTCCTTTTTACTGTGTATCGCTGTAATTGTTTCTGTTGTGCGTTGCAGCTCACGTGGAGAACGAGGAGCAGTACGTCCAGTCCATGGAGAAGTTCGGGGACAACTGTGTGTGCAGGGATGACACCGAGGTTGGCTCCGCCTTCCTCAAGTTCGCCGTGTTCACCAAGGAGCTGACGGCGCTCTTCAAAAACCTGGTGAGGGGACGCACTGCACAGCCTGGAGTAGACAGATGAGTACTGGACTCTGGGTTCAGTTTGTCCTCTGTGACGTGTGAACGAAGACGTCTGTGACTCTGTGTGTGTGCGAGGCTGTCTGTGCTTTAACATGACTTCCTGTCTGCAGTTACAGAACATGAACAACATCATCACCTTCCCTCTGGACAGTCTGCTGAAGGGGGACCTGAAGGGCGTCAAAGGGGTTTGTGCTTCACTTTTTTCTCTCTGTGTGAACCAGCCGGTCTCAGTCCAACAGGATCAGGTGCAGGTCGAATGCAGTTCCCTTAAAAAAACCCTTTTGGAGAATTGAAAATGTCTCGGGCAGAGATCTAGAATACTTCTTCTGGACTGTGACATTATTCCAGCAGCAGACAGCTGTTAGGAAGCGTCGAAGCTTTAAAGTGTTTTCTGTTTTTTATATGTCTCTTTGTTGTTTTGCATCATTTTGTAGTCGTTTGCATCTTTTTTTGTGTGCTCAGTTGCGTGTACATGGGTCCAGGTCACATTACGTGATTGATTAGATTTATTGTTATATACATCTGGGATGTCTGGAACAACGCGTGGGTTTCCTGTCCACGTGTTGTTCCAGACATTAAATGACCGTTCTGTGTTGGATCTTCTCTTTGGCCTGGTGAACGCTGCAGAGACCCTGTTGATGTCAGTGATCATCTTCGTTATCAGTTAATCTGACCAACTAAAAGCAATTGAAACGTCTCAGATCTTGGGATTCATAAGTAAATATCTCCATTTTATTGACATGTTTGTCAGTGGTGTCGTCATAATGTCTACGGGAGCGTGGTCATATAGCGCATGTGTTTCAGATCCAGTATGAGATTTATATAACAGAACTAAAACCAGAGACTCCTGTTGAGTCAGCTCACACAGTCATGGTGCTGCAGCGAGTCACGGGTCAAAGTCCTGTGTGTGTGGCTATGAGTCAGTGCTGCGATCTGATTGGTCGGAGCTCAAAACTAACAGTGTGGCGTCTGTGCCTCCTGCAGGACCTGAAGAAACCATTCGACAAAGCCTGGAAGGACTACGAGACCAAACTGTAAGAAGGACTTGATCACACACTGGATCTGGTTAAACCTCAGTTCAGCCAAACGTGTCCTCTGAACGTCCCCACGCTTCGTCATGGTTCTGAAGTTAATTTTACTCAGACATAAAGGTCCAACAAGCGTGGGGGCTGTTCCTGGAAAACTGTGTAGTCTTCAGTCAAACTTAAAGTGTCTCTTCTTCTTCTGTCAACATGTGATTGTCTCTGTCAATGATTTGTCTTTAAACCCCCCCTTCACATGTTAAAATCCTGATTTTCCAGCATTAAGAAAATGTCTCCCTATTGATTTAGCTTAGTACAGTGTTGAGAAAAGATGTTTTCTGATATCTGAACAATTGTCTTCAGCATCTAACCCTGGTGTTCAACCTCTGCAGAGCCAAGATCGAGAAGGAGAAGAGGGAGCACGCCAAGCAGCACGGGATGATCCGGACCGAGTTCAGCGGAGGAGAAATTGCCGAGGACATGGAGAAGGAGAGGCAACTCTTCCAGCTGCAGATGTGTGAGGTGATGTCGCTCACAGTGTTTCATCTCTAAACTAACAAAGCTCATCACAAGAGGAGTCAGTAACCACCAACCTGTGTCATTTGGTTTCCCTGGTGTCTCGTCTCTGCAGTATCTCCTCAAGGTGAACGAGATCAAAGTGAAGAAAGGGGTTGACTTCCTCCAGAACCTCATCAAGTATTTCCACGCTCAGTGCAAGTACGAAAATACAAACATGTTTCCATCAGTCAGAAGGGACTTTCAGAAATATCGCTCTCCACCGTACATTATTTAGTATCAACCAGAAATATGTGAAGCTATTTATGAAAGCAGTTCGTTCAGAGACAAAGAAATACAAATGGAGCAAGGCTTGAAATAAAAGCATCATTAATTTAGTCCACGCTGTGTTTCATGCAGTTACCACACAGTGTCACCGGATTCTGGTGTATTATAGACACGTTTGTGCACTTCTTCTTACAAACCGTGCTTTTGTTTCGCTGCTCTGTTCAGTTTTTTCCAGGACGGACTGAAAGCTGTGGAGAGTCTGAAGCCATCTGTAGAGAAACTGGCTACGGACCTGACCGCGGTGAGGATGCCAGGTGTTCAGTGCTGAGTGAGAAACCGACAGCAGCACGTGACAGGGAGGGAACGGCGTTAACCCTTCACTGCCCAGCGGTCCCGGTACTGGGACCGGACTGGATCTGAGAGAGCTGACGAGTGCTGCACACTTGACTCTCCAAAGCTCATACGTTTGACTTTTATCTCATAGTCTCTGCTTTCATCACGTAGTGTTGATTTGACATAAGCATTTTTTATCAGGACAAACTTCAAAAAGTGAACGGACGGAGAGACTTGAGGCGTTTCTGAATTCTCCCAGATGGCACTGGCCTCTGTTGGCCTCACAGCTGTGGAGCTGTTACAGTCACTTTGTTCAGACAGAAATCACTGGGATTAAATGTCAGAATTCTACTTGAGTATTTCCATCTATGGCAAAGTAGTGGTACTTTCTGTTACATTCATATGACAGATCATTACGTATAGTGTGTTATACCAGACTAAAAGACTCAGCACTGTATCAGGAAGGTTAAATGAGCTCCACCGTGACTTCCTCCAACATTAAAGTGATATAATACTGTAAAACTGACGAGGCTCACCTGCATAATGAGCACATTTACTTTAAGTACATTTGGTCTGAATGTGTTTTGCTTTTACTTCAGGTGAAGTTTTTTTACAGTGTGTTTTGCTGTTTTTACTCAAGCAGATGATTCGAATAGTTCGGCCACAACTAACTCGTGTCTCTTGTTTTTCCTGTTGATCAGATTAAACAGACTCAGGACGGAGAGAGGAAGCAGCTGACTCAGCTCCGAGACGTCCTGAAAGCTTCGCTGCAGTCGGAGCAGAAAGAGGTGGGAGTGCAGTTTGCCGGCCCTTTTGACCAAACCAGTCTTATTACTGAAAGGAAGGAGAAAATGACATTTCAGTGAGCACGGTCAACGTGCTGTGGCAGAGGGATGTGGATCTGCGCATGTGTTTACTGCAGACTCTCCACATCATGTTATTTTTATGTCAGTGGGTGTAAAACGTGACATCGTTCTTTCAGATTGTTCAGTAAAAACATTTTGAAATTACAGGTGTTAAATGTGACGACTACGCCGTAGTTTTGATTGATACAGTTTTGACCAAATAAGAAGAAGATTCAAAACAAATGCCAGTAGCTTTATTTAACTAAGCTGAATTTTAGTTCAGTAAAGTTTCAACATTAAACTGACTAATGGAACAAATGTGCCAAATGTAGTTCTTTTATAATTTTTAAAGTTGTATTTAAATGTTGGTCGTCTTGTAATGTGTGTAGAAAAACATCTTGAGGCCTGTGGATCATGTACTGACCTTTTTACCTACAAGAAAGTCCAACATCTGTCCAACATCTGCTGGACAGATGTTGGACTTTGACCTCATCTCACTCCTCCAGTCAACTCTTTAGTTATTAATGAGTCTAGCGCCACCCTCAGGACAAGCTACAGAGACTCTGGACTATAAACCTGGATGTTGACGTCCTCTCCGTGTGTCCCGGTGTCCTTAGGACTCCCAGGCGAAGCAGAATGCAGGCTACAGCCTCCACCAGCTGCAGGGAAACAAGGCCCATGGAACCGAACGCTCTGGATTCCTCTACAAGAGAAGTGAGGGGTGAGTGAACTCAAAGTCCCAGAATCCCACAGGCAAATAACTTTCAAACATGGCTGCCATCCTTCCTCCTGCAGGGTTCAAGTGCCACCAATTCCTGACTTTGTCTCTTGTTCAGCTTGTAGAAACACACATTTGTGTTAAGTTTGTGAGGTTGACTGCATGAATACTGATCAGTGTTGGGCTCTTTACTCACAAAATGTAATATATTACTCAATACTCGTTACTCGACCTGTCCAGGGTATACCCCACCTCTCACCCAAAGTCAGCTGGGATTGGCCCAGGCCCCCCCTCAACACTGTTCAGGATAAGCAGTATTTGCTTCTGGAGGGAGTAACTGTAATATGATTACTGAAATTTTATTTGTAACTTCTTACACTACTCGTTACTGGGAAAAGTAATATTACTACAGTAACGTGTTATGGCCCAACACTGGTACCGACCAGCAGTCAGCAAGGCACTGTATGTTCTCTGTAACACAGTTTGTCAGCACTGATCCCCATTGTTCACTCTTCCTCAGCCTGAGGAAGGTGTGGCAGAAGAGGAAGTGCTCGGTGAAGAACGGTTTCCTGACCATCTGCCACGGAACGGTAAGACGCCACATACTCTCTGAAACGCCATGTTGTCGATCCAGCAACTAAACCAATCAGGTCTCAGATCAGGTGAGAGCCAGGCATCTCCCATCATGCCCTGAGCTCTTAGAGGCGGTGGAGAGCAACTGCGGCGCCTGGATCATGTGACAGTATCGTTGCCTGTGTATGTTTTATGTCAGAACAAACGGCTGCACTGTGCAACAATAGGTGGTTATCTGATTCTGTGCAGATCCGGCTCATCTCAGACATGCCTTATATGTTTGATTCAGTACTGACCAGTCTGGGTCTCTGTCGGGTTCAGCACTGTTGCTGTTGTTACCTTTCTCCCTGCTCTTTGTCTTGCAGGCTAACAAAGCTCCAGCTAAAGTTAACCTGCTCACCTGCCAGGTGAAGAGGAATCCAGAGGAGAAGAAGAGCTTTGACCTGTTTTCACGTGAGCTGTGTTTTCTTTTAACTTTACTGATGTGGCCTTAATCATTCGGATGTGTTTGGAGTCAGTTTCACACAGGTTGAGTTGTTAAAAACTGTCAAACCCTTAAAGTGTAACTAAATAACTTCATAATGTTTTCTAATGACAGTAAACTGTTTTTTATTTTTCTAAATTAAAAATCTGCTTGAGTTTCTTTATGCTTTACTCATTCCAAGTTACAAATGATTCAGATGGCCGATGGCATCAGAAGGTGCTTGACATTAGTTCATCGTCATGTCTGAGTTTATCTAAAAGTGATGAGCAGTTGCTTCATGGTTCATGTTGTTTTGTGTTTCCCGCCGTCAGACGACAGAACGTATCACTTCCAAGCCGAGGATGAAGCAGAGTGTCAGATGTAAGTGTCTGATGTTGTGTCGTTGCTGCAGCCGGGTGTCTGATGTTGTGTCGTGTCTGATGTTGTGTCGTTGTGTCTGATGTTGTGTCGTTGCTGCAGCCGGGTGTCTGATGTTGTGTCGTTGCTGCAGCCGGGTGTCTGATGTTGTGTTGTTGCTGTAGCTGGATGTCAGTGCTGCAGAACAGTAAGGACGAGGCTCTGAACATGGCCTTCAAAGGAGACCAGGATGACGGCGAGAACAACATTGTCCAGGAACTGACCAAGGCCATCGCCGAAGAGGTAAAGAGGATGAGAGGCAACGACAGCTGCTGCGACTGCGGAGCCGCAGGTCAGTACTTCTGCTAATACTACTAGTACTACTGCTAATACTACTAGTACTACTGCTACCTCTACTAATGCACTGCTACTTCACTACTCCTACTTGCAAATGTGCAGCTCCCTCTACCGATGCTGCTACTACAGTATTTGCTTCTAAATGATTCTGTAAACTTTCCTGTCATGAACTCGTTCTTGTTAAGCGACGACTGAGCAGCTGTGTGAGGAAATGACAGCCCTCTGTAAAGAGCTGTGGCTGTGTGTTGGTCCTGGGTGAGGAGGGATGTCCAGGTGTTAGTGGAGCGTTCTGCCAGCGCGGCTATGAGACGAGAAAGTGTGTTTAGAGAAGGTTCTGACGTTTTGGTGACAGGTGGCTGATGCCTCCCTTTAATTTCACTTTCACCCTTGTTGAAATTGTGCTTCCTCCTCAGCGTTGCTTTCACTGCCATGTCTAATAATGTGTATTTCAGATTTTGTTTCTATGCAAATGACTGATTAAAGGTGTGTCTATGTCTATTTATGTCTAAATCCGGGAGTGGAAAAGAAGCTTGTGCACGTGCGCCCAGTTCCACAGTGACTGAGATTTATAAAACAGAACCAGGCCCCAGGGGTATTCTGATTACCTTTAGTCCATGTGGAGCGACCCGTCTGTTCCCAGGCTGCTGGTCAGACAGGTTTCTGTAGGACGGGGACACTGCTGGGTTTTGGTGTAACAGCTGCTGATGCAGGAATTAGACAGGTCCCAAGTTTCAGCTGAGCTGTCAGTCTATCAGCGGCTGGGTTTGGATCAGGGCCACAGCTGCAGTACGACACCCTCACCAGGACCTCTACAGGAGGTGCAGGTCTCTCTCCTCTGTCAGCTTCTTGTTATGAGTGACGGGGTCGTCGACAGCCCCTGGCCCCCCCACCCCAGCTCTGTACGAGCACCCAGACTGGTCCTCGCAACTGTTTTGTTCTGTTGTGTTTGTTAACCTATAAAATGATGTCAGAATTAGTTGATTCTACTTAATACTGTGAAAAGTAACTGCAGCTGTCAAACAAATGAAGTGAAGTGAAAAAAACAGTATTTAAAGTTCAGTTTAAAGTGCATGAGATTTAGAAACTAAACGTGACACCAGTATCGGGGCTGATGCTGCGTTCTAGGACTCATACTTGTAAACATGCCGACACCACTTTACGTTAACCTGGTCGAGCAGACACTTCAGTGGTGTAGAGAGAATAAACTGAAGAAGAATAAATTCCTCTCTCGTTCCGTCAGACCCCACCTGGCTCTCCACCAACCTGGGGGTCCTGATCTGTATCGAGTGCTCGGGGATCCACAGAGAGATGGGAGTCCACTACTCCAGGATCCAGAGTCTGGACTTGGACGTCCTGGGGACCTCTGAGCTTCTGGTGAGTCCACTTCACCGTCCCCAGAGAGGTAACGGAAATCAGAGCTTCAGGCAGAGCAGATGGTTTTCTGTCTGCAAGTTGGATTCTTTGGTTTTTATTCTCTATTAGGTTTTTTCCATCTACAGTAACCAGCATTTACAGACAGTAGAGGTGTACAGCGTAGTCTGTGGAACCAGCAGAAACCACGAGCATGTGACTGTTTTGACTGAGGAAGGAGCAGCAGTGATGAATCCTCATGTGTTGTGTTGTGTTTTAGTTGGCGAAGAATGTGGGAAATGCCAGCTTCAACGAGATCATGGAGGCCGATCTGGTGGAGCAGGACATGACCAAACCTGATCCGAGAAGCGACATGTGAGAGCCTGACGTTAAGACAATCCAAAACCTGGTAAACCCTGACGTACTAACCCCTTCTCTCTGTCCGCTGGTGTTTTTAGGCAGATCAGGAAGGACTACATCACAGCAAAGTACACAGAGAAGCGTTTTGCTCGGCACCTTTGTCCCGACGCCGCATCCAGACTGCAGGTTCTGTACGAGGCCGTCAGGAACAGAGACATCCTGTCTCTGATCCAGGTCTACGCTGAGGGGGTGGACCTGATGGAGGTCATCCCACAGCCCAAAGAACACGTACGCCCACACTCAGTACAGACACTGTGCCACATCATCTCTGCTGCAGCACCTGTAGTATCGAATCAATCAAATCAAAATGTGCCATATAAATAAAAACGCTGACCAAAGTGCTTCACATTAAGTCAAGGTAAAACCACAATAAGAAGAAAGAGAGTAGAAAAATCTACACCACTGTTAATAAAAGAGGTCAGAGCTCTACTTGGTGTGGAACAACAAAGTGAATAAGTAAGACTTGAGCTTTGCTTTAAAACGTACCTGGTCCGTAGTGGATCGGCTCTCTGGTGGTAAGGCGCTCCACAGTTTGGGAGCAACCACAGCAAAAGTCCTGTCACCCCACTGTTTACACCTCGATCTGGGGACGTCCAAAAGAAACTGGCTGGAGGACCTGGGATCTCTACAGTGTCTACGGGCAACCACATACGATAGAGCTTTACCACTGAGGTCATTAAACACGAACGAGAGTTTAAAATCAGTCCGAAAGTGTATCAGAAGCCAGTGGAGCAAGTGTAGAACAGGGGTAATATGATCATATTTAGATGTTTTATGAATGAGATGAGCAGCAGCATTTTGGACCGAGGGCTGGAAAGTCATGACTCCTTTCCACCAACATACAGAGTGTTAGAATAGTCCAATCTGATAAAAGCGTGAACTCCTCTCTCAGGATCCTTATGTGTTAAAGGCTTCACTTTGGATAAAAGAAAACAAGCTCACTTTTACAACACAGTTGATTTGTGTGTTGAATTTCAGCTCACTGTCAAATGCCACACGCAGGTTTCCTACAAATGTCAGTAGCACCTGGGATGAAATACAAACCAAAAATAACACAATCAGTCTTAGTCTCACCGAGATGAAGAAGGTGGGTGAATAGACACTCCTGGCACGAGGACAGATGTCAGGAAAGACCTCCTGATGGAGTCAGTCTCCCTCACTTCCTCCACCACTTTTGACTGAAGTGCTCTGTTTTTCAGGAACCTGGAGAGACGGTGCTCCACCTGGCCGTGCGTATGGCCGACAGGAACTCCCTCCACATCGTTGACTTCCTCGCACAAAACGGGTAACTGCTCCCACCTGAACTGTGCAGCATCATAAGAGCTGCAACTAATGACAGATGTTTGAATGCATCCTATCCGTGTGCTCTGTATCCGCCTCCCGTGTGAACACCGCTGAGCTCCTAAACTGCCACACATGCACTGAAATATGAGCCACGTGCGCACAAGAATAACATCCAGGTGGTGTGCGCAACAGTCAGATGGCCCAGTTTCCTCCCAAACCACTGGGTTACGATATGTTCCTTCCAGTTTGTCCTGATCAGAAGCTTCTCCATAAACATCCACCACATGTGAAACATCCTGGTCTCTCCACTGACCCCGTCGTTGTCGTCGCTCTCCTCCATGTTTATTGTTGCTCGCCTGTGAAGGGCCGACACCGAATGAGAAATAAAATGTTGTAGAGCATGCAGTGTCAGTGAGTGTCCCCACGTGCAGTGATGCCAAGTTGTGTTTGTGTGCTTCAGTGCTAACCTGGACAAGCAGACGGCGAGAGGCAGCACAGCGCTGCACTACTGCTGCCTGATAGACAACAGCGAGTGTCTCAAACTGCTGCTGAGAGGAAAAGCTTCCGTGTCCATCGGTGAGAACAGGACGACAGCAGCGCCTGCTGCACATCGAGGATAACAACATGACACAACTAGCATTAGAGCAGCATTTCTGAGCCACACCGTGTACAGGGGCCTTTAAATTCACCCAGTGGGCGTGTGTTAGTGTTACTGTTTGATTCATTTAGATGTAACGCCAGCGGTGGAGGCTCTGCAGCTGTTTTACCAACAGTTTGTGGACAGTTGTGTAGTTTCCCCAGGTGGGAAAGTAAATATGATATGAATGCAGTGTTAGTCACTGAGAACCTGCCTGTTATCTTAACTAGTGGCTAAAGTAAAGAAATAGAAGAAAATAGGCACCAAGTCACAGAAAGGTAGAAAATAAAAGGAGAAAGTAAAACAAGTAGAAAACAGCAAAATGTCTCTTATGAGAAAATGTACAGGTTTTACATTAGGACATATTTGCTGTCATGAAAATATATGAACACGACCAAAGGACATGATAAGTAGCGTTGACGTGTGCGCTTCAAGATAAAGTTTCCACCTGATCATATAAGATTGCACAGTCAATAACTGTGTGCAACATATGGTTTGTGTCTACAGCCAATGACGCAGGGGAGACGCCGCTGGACATCGCCAGACGCCTGCGACACACTCAGTGCGAAGAGCTGGTGAGAGATAGATGGTAGCCTCTGTTTGGTTTGTAATGTCCTTCAAATGGAAGACGTGAGCTGTCTTCGTTTATTTACATCAAGGTCAAGTGTTTGTCATGTGCACAGTGAGGAAACGTGTTTCCCTGTACAATGAAATTCTTTCTTTGCTGTCCACATGAATGCCGCATAATACAAGTGAAATATAATGCAGATACATAGGTAACACAATCTAAATTTCAAAATCTAAGGCACTGTAAAACAGCCGATGAGAGCAGCATAATGAAAATACAAGGATACAATATAATGAAGAGAGAATGTATCCTGCATGGGAGCTGTGTGCGCAAATATTCAGCAGTGAATGTGCAATTATGCATGTGCAAAATGAGTGTGTAAACAGTACGGTTGGAATTATATGAGGTAGTTCCTGAGTTCCTATTGTCATATTATGCTGTGCGATACTGTATCGAATCACAAAAGTTCACATGCAAGTAGTGCCGAGTTTATGCAGGGACATATGAAACCTTTTTACAGGAGATTTTATGCATATGATGCTGTGTTGCTTATTTTATGCCAATTTCTCTAAAACCTGATTTTGAAAAAAGCTGCAGTACATCACCTTGTTTACAGTATTGCAGTATATCGCAATAAATCAAACACTAACCCCTGTATCGTGATATGTATTGTATCGCCAGATTCTTGCCAGTACACAGCCTTGGTTTTAACAAGAGCTGACTATGATGAGGATTTGAAAAGGACTAAATGTGCAGTGAAGTACACGACTAACATGAAATAAATGTCTAAAAACTTGTATATAAGCTGAATTTTTGATTTGGGACAAAAAAAACTTAGCATAGAAGTGTACTCGCTAGCTTTACTAGCTCTGAAGACCAAGAGGTGAAACACAAAGCTCAACAAAAGCCAGTAAGGAGACCTTTGAGTTGAGATTTTTATTTTAGACACACGTTGTTGTTGTTGTTGTTTACCTTAGTAACAACACAGTTACAGTAAAACTGAGTAATATTTATACTGCCTTGGTTTTATTCTCTTTATCTCACCGGTATCATTTCTATGACGTAGTCTCAAATATATTGATGTGTTCATATTCGTGCCGTCTTCCCCTCAGGAGCCCTTTGCATCCACCTGGGTGGAAGGTGAGTGATTGTTTGATCACACATGTAAAATGTTGTTGTGTGTGTGTGTGTTTCAGTTGACTCAAGCTCAGACCGGAAAGTTTAACGTCCATGTTCACGTCGAGTATGAATGGCGTCTCCAAAACGAGGACCTGGATGAGAGTGACGACGAGATGGAGGACAAGGTCAGCTGGTTTTATCTGACCAAGTCAAATTCTGCTACATGTAAAACAGCATCTAGAAATGTTCAGGATGTGTAGCAGTGTCTGTGTCCCCCCACAGCCTATCCCCAACCGTCGTGAGGAGCGTCCGGTCAGCTGCTTCATGCCAGGCAGCGGCCCCATGCAGTCCAACCTGGCGGCGTTGGCCCGGGATGTGGCCTGCCTGGCACGGGACAAACAGAGGCCTCAGGTCACGAGTATGATGATCAACAATGAGAGCTACGGCACCATGATGGACCTCAACCTGCCGCCACCGGGCCCAACACCCCCGCTGCCTCCCAGAGCACCCAGCAAAGGTCAGAGGGGTTAACTCAGACCCTCGACCCGCCCAGTTAACGGTCAAATTTAGCTCCAGTGCTAAAAGTGATGGGCTGGTCCAAGCACCCAGAGGATTTCATTACTGATAAAATTAAGAAAAGAGCTGCATCAGTATCAGTCTAAAGTAAAATACCGGGAGTTTTTTTTCTCCAAATTTGAATAAGATCATCTTAAATGATTTAAATGTTTAATAGACTATGTGGACAATGTCTTTGCTGCTGTACGAAGACGGCTCTGATGGAGGGTCATTTTACATTGCTATGAACGTTCAGCCAGAGGCCTGATGGAAGATCCTTTGACTTTCCATCAGCTCACATATTAATGTGTCTAGAACTTTGGTTTATGACCAAATACCTGCTAAGCTATTGACATTCCTATCAGCCTCATGCTGATTAGCTAATGTTAGCACACAGTTAGGGCGTGTAGGTGGGAGAGAGACGTACTGAAAGTAAAAGAAAATACTAAAGTTCTAGGCCCCAGACTCGCCGTGTAGTTTAGATTATTTTAATAGTTTTGCTGTTTTGACTGAACAAATAAAGCAAAATATCATATTTTTGCCCTCCTTCAGAGAGTTCAAAATGCTGCTGCTCATCTACTGGTTGGGGGGCGCAAAAGGGACCATATCACACCCATTTTGGCTTCTCTACATTGGCTGCCGGTGTGTTTTAGAATTCATTTTAAGATTCTTTTATTTGTTTTTAAGTCTCTACATGGTTTGGCCCCCCTTTATCTTACAGAATTGCTGCATCCCTATAGCCCCACTCGGTGCCTCAGATCAGCTGATCAGTTGCTCTCGGAGACACCGAGGGCTAGGCGGAGACTTAGTGGGGACAGAGCCTTCTCTGTGGGGGCTCCTAAGTTGTGGAATGCATTGCCCCTTTACATTAGGCAGGCCCCCTCGTTGTTCACTCATCTGTACCGTTTGGCGTTCCAATCAGTATGGGCCTCTGTCTTGTTGAGCCTTTGTTTTATGATGGGTGGTTGTTTTATTGTTGTTTGTTTTATTTTATTTTAATGGGTTTTGTGGATATTGTGTTAAGCACTTGGGTCAGCTCTGGGTGTGTTAAATGTGCTATATAAATAAAGTTGATGATGATGATCATCCCAGCAGCCGCAGGTAGCTGAGCAGTGTAATGGCCGACTCCCTGTTTGTATCTGTTCAGAATACTGAGACGTGTGGTTTTGTCCCCATGCAGGACCAGGACCCAGTAAACCCGCTGCAGTAGAAACCATAGGGCGACAGCGGTCGAGCTCTGACCCCCCGCTCCCTCAAACCCCTGAGAGGAACTCCTCCATGTATGGTGAGTGTTTTAAACAGTCAAACTGTTCAGATCAGTTTACGTCGGCCTCGTCTGTGTAAACGTCACAACATCAGTCTGATGAGCTCTAACGTTTCAACCTGAATAAGAAAGGCATTAGTTAGTCATCAACTTGTGCTCCAAGTAAAATCACTTCAGAGTGAATGAGCAGCTGACACGTCTCATGTCAGATCAGTCTGTATAAAGGATTTTTCACCCGGTGGTGGTGGGCAAAGGGAAGACGCTGTTTTTCTGTATTTTCCGATTTCATCCATCTGATTATTAGAAATCTGCCTCAGAAAGCTTTATGTAAACATACATCTTAGGATAACATTTTGTTTTATCAAGCGGTCTGTGTGCAGAGAATCAGCTCCACTATGTTAAATGTGCTTTTCTGGCATCTTGTTACATTTCTTTGCAGTCCCCTTGTGGCTCTTTGTAGTGTTTTGAGTCTGTGTGTAGCTGTTTGTAGTATTTTGAGTCTCTTTGTAGTCACGTGTCTCCCAACACAAACCCACAGCCTTGAGCTCCACCAGCTGTGTCGCTCCTCACGTCGACAGCAGGTGGAAACTCACTCTGATCTTCTGGCGACTCAGTTAAATTTGAGTCACATTTGTTTGGAAACTGACGAGTGAGGTTTTTCTGGTTCATTAAACCTGATTCAGCTCTCACCTCCTCTCCCAGTGCTCCCAGCTCTCCCAGCAGTGCCTCCTCTGCCGCCTCCTCTTCCTCCTCCAGGAAACAAGAAGTCCAGCATATTGGAGCCCAGGACCGGGTCAGTCAGGAACACGCCCCTCCCTCCTCTGCCTCCCCAACCAGCACCAGGACCCCCCTCCATTCCTCCAGTACCCCAAGTTCCACCACCCTCCATCCCACCACCCCAAAAAGTTCCACTCCTCCCCCCACCTGTCTCCAGCCAACAGACCAGCAGACCACCGGCTCCACCAGGACCGCTGCCAACAGTGGTTCCACCAGAACCACCGCCGCCACGGGGACCCAAATCACCCATTGGGTATGTAGTAGAGAGTAATGGTCTGTACTGGTCAGTAGATCAGTATCCATCTGATTAAATATAACTGTTCTAACTTTATTTTTCCTGATTCCAGATCAGGGAAATATCCTCCAGTGAGGCCTCCTGTCAGGACTGCATCTGTGGACAAACGAGGTACATGCACACATGTTGGTCTCTGTATATAAAGCTTTTCATAGCATCTAAGCCAGATTCTGACCTGATCCCAAAATCAAGTCTTAAAGGATGCAGCTGGTGATTTTGTATACTTGTGTAATTCTGCCTAAACCCTGTCCAGAGACCAGCAACACCAGTGAATGTGGTGTCCTCACCGTAATGTGTGTGAGTCCAGACCCTGGTCCAGCTCATCGCTCTGTGCTGTAGACCTCCACTGTTGTCCACCAGCTAATAATTCCCCCTCAGTGAGCCACACCACTGCTCTGGGGGGCAGGTTTCCTCCTCAGGGAACATGGGGGGCCGTCTGTTTCCAACAGACAGCTCCACAGACTGAGAACGGTGTCACTGTACAGAGTCACTGACCTCTGCTCTGGTCACACACTGACTGTTAGTTCGAGAAGCTAGAGGAGTAGAGCAGAGGTCACGTGTTTGGTGGGTGGCATCAAAGTGCTGTACTTCATGTTACAGTTTTGATGTTTGTAGTGGCTGAGAGTCTGTCTCGTATCCTCTGGACCTCGAATCATCCAGAACGCCTTTTCCTGCTGGGCAACTG